TATATATATATATATATATATATATATATGTGTGTGTGTGTGTGTCCTAGGTAAATTATTAATCCCTAATGATGACACAACCTTATCAAAACATTGTATATTTGTTAAACTTACAATAAAGTTTTCTTCCTTATCCATTCAAGCTATCACTAAAGTTTATTAGTCTCAAAGTGTGTTCTTTGTTACGAAGTTTGAGTAAAGGTAATCAGTCACTCATCAGATCTTAAGTTTGCCATGTTGGAATTAAAGAAATATTATTACAAAAGCTACAAAAATCAGCATGTTGGGAATAGTAAAACTGGAATTTGAAGCAGAACAAATTAGGATTTACTGCAATATGGTGAATAAAGTTATCACATGCAAAACAATATTCAATGGAGTTTAAAGATCTGAGGAGAAAAAATATTTACCTTGAGGTAAAACAACTGCCTCTACTGGTTCAATTCTACCTTCTCCTGCTTTACCAAGACCTTGACTGAAAAATAATCCACAGTATTAATTCTTCAATTAATATGTCCATTATGTTAGCCAATCTCTTATTGTTATTGTACATTAATCAAAGTAACCTAATGTAAAGATTCATGTGAAACCATCATTATCTAGTATGAATACTTCAACTTAATACATCCATTATGTTAGCCAATCTATTATTTCATGTGTGTTAATTAAATACACTAAAAAGTAATGACTTATGTGAAACCTACAGTAAATATTCATGTGAAACCATCATTATCTAGTTTGAATACTTCAACTTATTACATCCATTATGTTAGCCAATCTATTATTTCATGTGTGTTAATTAAATACACTAAAAAGTAATGATTTATGTGAAACCTACAGTAAATATTCATGTGAAACCATAATTATCTGGTATGAATACCTCAAGTTAATTCTGTTAATTATGTAAACCAATCTCTTACTTCACACATATTAATCAAATCCATCCAAAGTAAAAATCTGTATGAAACCTAAAGTAAGAATTCATGTGACACCTAGAGTAAAAGCTATTGAGAAACCTAATGTAAGGATTCATAGAATCCTTATGTTAGCTTTCTTAAGACCTTTTACTTTAGGTGTCATATGAATCTTTACTTTAGGTTTCTCAATAGCTTTTACTCTAGGTGTCACTTGAATCTTTACTTTAGGTTTCTCAATAGCTTTTACTCTAGGTTTCACATGAATTCTTACTTTAGGTTTCTCAATAGCTTTTACTCTAGGTGTCACATGAATTCTTACTTTAGGTTTCTCAATAGCTTTTACTCTAGGTGTCACATGAATCCTTACTTTAGATTTCTTAAGAGCTTTTACTTTAGGTGTCAATATGACACCTAAAGTAAAAGCTATTGAGAAACCTAAAGTAAAGATTCAAGTGACACCTAGAGTAAAAGCTATTGAGAAACCTAAAGTAAAGATTCAAGTGACACCTAGAGTAAAAGCTATTGAGAAACCTAAAGTAAAGATTCAAGTGACACCTAGAGTTAAAGCTATTGAGAAACCTAACGTAAGAATTCATATGACACCTAGAGTAAAAGCTATTGAGAAACCTAAAGTAAAGATTCAAGTGACACATAACGTAAAAGCTCTTGAGAAACCTAAAGTAAAGATTAATGTGATACCTAACAATTCAATTGAAAACACTTATGGTTCATTTTATCATCATGATAAAATGACTATCATGCATTTATTGTGATTTTGTTCAATAATCTAGTCAAAGTAAACTACAATTGTTTTTATAAAAGGATTAATACTGATGCCTTCATAATTATATAAAACCATTAACACTTAAGCCACCCAATACTGATGAAAAATGAATCTATTTAGGATAAATCAGAATTTTTTCTTACCCCCATACGTAGCCCATTTTGGCCATTAATTGAGAACCAATTCCCTGTAATAAAGAAACAATAAAATTTTCTTATATGGAATGCCATGAAACAAGAAATCACAATAATGTTGATTTATAGAAGTTTTACTGTTCAAATGAGTGCACAATACTTAAACTGATTTTGTTTTTGTAATAAACCACCAGACTAATTTTTTAAAATACTTCTGAATCATGTAGAAATTCTAAGTCATGCTACTTAATATATGGTTTTACTAAGAGAACTGAGAGTTACAAGTTACCCTTTCCAATCAAATATTTAAAAGAAAAACTGGGATGCAAATAAAAAAACTGAAAAGTGAAATAAAGTTATAGAAGTGAAAAGAGAGACTAACAGAGTAAATATCGGTTGTCAAAAATTAAAAGAAATTAAAATAAAAATTTCAAAGATCAGAACTGTTCAAGTACTCTACAGATGTAATCGTGAAATGTTGACAGAAGTATCACTTTTGAATTTGATCATGAAGTAACACTGCTGAAGAAGTCAAGAAATGTTTACAGAAGTAACACTTCTGAAGAAGTCAAGAACTTCTTACATAAGTAGCACTGCTGAAGAAGTCACAGATAGTGATATAAGGATCAAAGATCTTGAAGGAGTCATAATGTTTTCCATTGTGTTACAGATAGTGATATAAGTGTCAGAAATTTAGATGGTGATATATGTGTCAAAGATGTTGAAAGAGTCATAATGTTTTCCATTGTGTTACAGATAGTGATATAAGTGTCAGAAATTTAGATGGTGATATATGTGTCAAAGATGTTGAAAGAGTCATAATGTCTTACATTATATCACAGATAGTGATATAAGTGTCAAAGATGTTGAAAGAGTCATAATGTTTTAAATTGTGTCACAGATAGTGATATAAGTGTCAAAGATGTTGAAAGAGTCATAATGTTTTAAATTGTGTCACAGATAGTGATATAAGGGTCAAAGATGTTGAAAGAGTCATGTTTTACATTGTGTCACAGATAGTGATATAAGTGTCAAAGATGTTGAAAGAGTCATAATGTTTTAAATTGTGTCACAGATAGTGATATAAGGGTCAAAGATGTTGAAAGAGTCATAATGTTTCCAACTATCTTTTCTCCCAACTAACATGAAGCTGTATGTAACATTGTATATATATTTATAACCTATACTTGTTCTAGATATTTCTAAGATTAACATGAACTTAGCATCACATTAAATCATCAAAAACCCACATCTCCCTCTAGTTAACAAACAAATTACATCATCAAAAGTCTCTTGAACAATCTTTATACAAAAATCAACAACTACACTAACTTGTCCTTTCACCAAGTATTTTTAATGGTATTTTTTTATTCTCAGGCCCATATTATTCAGAGGGGATAATGTCTTATCCCTTGTTGTTGCTGGAGTAATTCTTCCTAGGTAGGTGGTTGGGTGAATCCACTGGCAGCTCCATCCATAATGATCTTCTAGAAGCAGTCTTGTCAGGAACTCTGGGCTCCTTTACAAGGTTGATGTTCCATTGACCATTCTCTCAATGATGCACTTCAGCAGATGATCAAGGTCACTGACCTTTGGTCTAGATTCCTTCTCCTCTGAACACCTACTTTGAAGTGTGTCCTCTTTTGCAATAAGAACTTTCAGCACTATCATGTCACCTTGATGGAATTCAATTTTACAAAATAGCTACCTTTCTGTTTATCACAAGCTGATTTAAGTCTTTCCTGGATAAAGTCATGTACAAGATATTTATTCTTCAAATTAAGAAGAGTTCTTTCAATCATCAATCCCTCATGACATGCTATGCCCCTATGCCCCAATCCCTAGATGAATGAATTATTGCTATTAGTTTTTGATATAAGTGTCTCACTTCTTAGTGGTACAATGATCACTGTCCTGGTTTATACTGGACATTCAGATTACAGTTAAGTAATTGCCACACAGTGCACAAGGACTTCCTGATTGTACATTATGAAGCCAGTATGACCTTGCATCCATGTCTTCACACGAAGTCACTTTCCACAACGCACCCTTCCTTGATGCCAATCTCACACACAACATGAGGCACAGAAAAGCCTTCTATATATGTATATGTATATATATATATATATATATATATATAGTAGATACTACACTACTTCTTGTAGTACTTATTCATCTGTCTGTCTGACTATACTACTTCCTTCTTTCTTTCTTCCTACCTCTAGTAAAACTAATTCGT